ATGTTTCAGGACACGAGCGAGACCGAGTCGACAGGCGGGGCTGTAGGAGGTAGCGAAGGCCCCCCGAACAACGGGCCTTCTCTCCCCCCCGGGCTAAGTCCTGCTGTTGCTGCGGCCGCTGCAGCCGCAGGGGGCGTGGGCGCCCACTCCCTCCTTCAGCAGACCATGTGCCAGTTGCTGCGGCCTTCGTCCCCTCGCGGAGATGCGCCCTCCTCGCCGCCCCCGCTGGGACACCCGTCAGAGCCTCCTCGCTCTTTACACTGGGGCGCCCAGGACCTCCGACCTGACCTGGATCGCCAAGATGCCCACTCCCCGCCCTCGATTGACCCCACAAAGGTAGATGAACGTGCGTTTTGTTGTCTGTTTGAGGGTGCAAATCTACTGACGAAGAGCTGAATGAGCGCGCTGTGTCTTTCTCAAGGCTTGGTCAGCATGTTATTCCAGGGAGGTCTCATTCCTCGAGCCAGTGTTACCACATCACGCACGCATTTCTTTCCACCAACTTTGCCAAGGAAAATGTATCCAACACACGTGCACTCGTGGCCCTTCCACGGCGTCTGTTGTTTGCAGGGTGTTCTATCCACCCCCTTCACTCTTCTCTCGACGATGCTCTCAATAGCCGTGCCCCATACACCTAACACGGCCTCTACACCCACACGCCACCACAGCCTCCCACATCCCCCCCACGCCACCACACCCCACACAGCCCACCCCCCACACCCCCCCACAGCCCACCACACAGCCCCCCACAGCCCCACACACGCCCCCACAGCCCCACACACACACCCACCACACCCACCACAGCCCCCACACGCCCACCACCCCCACACGCCCACCACCCCACCACAGCCCCCACACGCCCCCAACCACACCCCCCACACGCCACCACAGCCCCCCACACGCCCACCACAGCCCCCCACACGCCCCCACACGCCCACCACAGCCCCCCACAACGCCCACCACCCCCCCACACGCCCACCACAGCCCCCACACGCACGAGAGTCCTTCCACTTTGGGGACCCATCAGAGAAACTTCCTCCCCACGGGCACTCCTGAGAAATTGCGAAGGATTCTTTCGCTCCGAGTTTGTCCCGGAAGAGGATGAAATCGACCATTTCTTCCGAAGTTATTGTTTATATTATAAGTTCCCTTCTTGTGTTAATTGGATGCAGATGAATGGTTGGCTAACAATAACTCTTGAGAAAAAGGGAAAAGCAACAAGAACAAGACAGCGTAGGAACGGAAAAGTGCGAGGCAGGTCTTGCAGGGAACGCGGGCTCGCCCTTCGCCTCTCCTCCCTCGTCAGACATCAACACACAAACTAACTGCTTTTATACTGTGGAAAATGAAAAGAAAACTGAAGGGGCTGATGGAACGAAGTACACATGCATATTCAAAAGTGAATAAGCAAGAGGCACACGGGGATGCAACAACCATTAACACCTATACTGCAGGAGCCTGTTCCTTCTAATTCCATAAGCGCCTTCCTGGCATCTCGGCGCGAAGACCTTGAATAGTTATTAAAAAGAAGCGAGGGAAAAGGGGAGAAAAAAGGGAAAAAAGGGAGAGACGGTGTGCTCGGGCCCTCCCCTTAGACACCTCACACGTACCCTAGGCCATTCATCATGCCTTCGGTAGGAGGAAGGAGGCGGAGGAGGAGAGGGGGCAGATGGCGAAGAAGGGTGAAGGCAGGGAAGGCGAGGACTGGGCGGGGGAGGGGGGGGTCGAAGGGAGGGGGGAAGAAAAGTGTATGATATTCGTGTATCACCTGCGGAGTGACATTTACCAACCGCCCACGAGTATTATCCCTCGCCCTCATCACCTTCCCCCGCCGACTCGGTGGGGGTGCGGTCATCACCCAGCAGGAGGCGAGGAAAAATTCAGCGAAAACTTCCCCCCTTTTTTCCCTCCCGAGATAGTTGTTCAGAAATTACGAGTTACTTATCTTGTTTTCAGGATCAGTTTTTCTTGGAGGTAAAGGAAGACAGGGCGGGGGCGGAGGGGGAGGGAAGGGCGGGAAGGGCAGGGGACGGAATCCGCGGGGGGCGGCGCAGGGGTGCTGGTCGCGGTGTTGGTCAGGGCGCCGGAATCTCGGGCTTACTTGTGATTGGACTCGAAGTGCTTCATTAGGCGAGAGGCGGGGGTTGCAGGGGGCGTGTTGCGGCGGGGAGGCAAGGCCAGGCTGCGGGGAACCGACACAAAGGGGTTCCTCCTCCTGCCTTCCGTCACTCGGGTGTAATCGCAGTGCCGAGCCCCCGGGCGGCGCACGGCAGGCTTAAGACCTAAAAGTCCAGAGTTGGAGAAGAAAGAAGTAGGCGTGGAGCGGAGCATTTAACATAGCTTCAAAACAATGGCCTATCCCGAGACCTTCTGTGTCGGTTAGGTCGGTTTTACTCGGGTCGCGCAAGGTGTTGTTGGACCCAATGCTGTTTGCCGGCCTGCACGATCCCCGCCCGAGGCTTCTTCATTATCTTTGCTCCTCCATCAGGACGGGAGACAAATCCTTCGACGTAATCCATTCGTCAATAATGCACGTCCAGTAGACAGTCCTTTCAGCGATTAGCGAGCCGGATAACTCCCGGCCATTTTATCAGGATTATCAGACACGAGTTCATTTTTTATTAATGGACCTCTCAGATTTGATATGACAATTTCCGGACCACGAAACTATTAATATTTTTTTCGAGCATGGTGCGTGTTTGAGTCGGGGCGCGGCGGGAGGCCGAAAATTCCCTTCATATAAAATCATGGTGACCTGAGTTTTCATGCTCCCTTTTTGCTGTTCCGTCTTTTCGCCCTTTTCTGATATTCCGATTTTTTTGCTTCCTCGTCGTCTCTCCTTTTTTTTTCTTTTTTTTTAATTTCTTTTCTTATTTTTTCGTCTGTTATGAAAACTCCCTCTACGGTTTACAAGCTTGTCGTGACTAAAGTTTCTTGTTTATGCTACCGACTGCTATAGTTATCGGATCTGCACGCGACCTTACTGTATTTACTGATTACTTGCGCCGGGATTTTGAAGAAAGGAAGAAAGAAAATACGTTAGCAGTCTTTGATTCTTATAATGAGTATCTTTTACTCACCTGATATTACTTCCCATAATGACAAACTTAACTGCAAATCCTCACACATCAGGTAATTAGAGGAAGGGAAAGCAACATAAAATCGCCTGAATATATCTTTATTTTCCCTGAAAAGGTGAACAGTAAATACATGGCTAGTAAATACATAAGAATGCCAGACATTCAGAAAAGCCTTGCTTAAAAAAAGAGACATTTGAATTAACACATGCAAACAAGAGTTCGTGTTTACACTGGCCCATTTGGATTTTTGGAAGACATTTTTCCCACAGGTTTCTTTCGTCTCCACCCAACTCGCACACACACTAGCCTCTTCTCTCGCTCTCTGCTCGCTCTTCTCTCTCTTTATCCTTCTCTTTCTCTCTTCTTTTCTCTCTATCTCTTCCTCATCGCTCTCTGTCTCTCTGTCTCTCTCTTCTCTCTCTCTCCTCTCTCTCTCTCTCTCTCTCTCTCTCTCTCTCTCTCTCTCTCTCTCTACTCTCTCTCTCTCGTCTCTCTCTCTCTCTATCTCTCCTCTCTCTCTTCAACTGCTGTTATGTGTACCTCCCTTTCCTTCTCTCTCACTCCCACTTTCTTTTACCTCTCATTTCCTTCCTCCACTGCCAGTCCATACCCACTGCCTTCCCTCCCGCCTCCCGCCTCTCTTCTTTCCTTCCCTCCCTAACCTCCCTCCTTCCTCCATACCTCCACCTCCCTTCTTTCCTTCCCTCCCTTCCTCCCTCCCTTTACCCTCCTTACCTCACCCTCGCTCCCTCCTACGGCCCTCCTCCCTTCTTTCCCCTCCCTCCTTTGACTTCCATCCATCCATCCCTCCCTACCTCTACCTACCCTTCCCTCACTAGTCCGCTCCTCTCTTCTTTCCCTAGCAGAGCGCTCCCTCTCCAGGGCATCCCAGCAGCCTCCTCCAAGGGCAACTTTTGGCAGTTTTCTTTCCGGGTTATAATGTAGCGCCTCTTCCAGCGGGCTAAATGGATACTTGACGAAGAACGGGTATTTGGACGACCCGGAAAAAGAGGGAGTCCTCAGAACGGACGAATGGTTGCTAGTTAAGCAGTTTAAGTCTCATTTAATCCATTTGTAGACGAGAACAGGGAGTACCTTGTCTCCAGGAGTGCGACAGGTCCATATGTACGACTTTTTTTGTTTTGTTTTGTTTTGTTTTTTTTCTTTTCTTCTCTTTTTGGCGTAATTTGTCGAGGAAGATTACTTGGTGTCTCGTGCGCTAGTGTAGAGATTTGGATTCCGTTTTTGAGAAGTATGGGTGTATTTCTCTTTCTCTCTCTTGCATTTTCTCTTTCCCCTTTCTCTTTTTCTCTCTTTCCCTCACTTCTCCATCTCTCTCTCTCTATCTATCCATATATCTATTTATCTATCTGTATATATATTTCCCTCTCTATCTGTCTATCAATCTATCTATCTATCTATCTCTTTCACTTTCTCTTCCTCGATTTCTCTCTTCTTTTCTCTTTCTCTCATTCCCTCTCATGTTTATTAAACATCGTCTTAGGAATATACTCATTCAAAGTGAAGATGCAACTTACATGTAGACGACAGAAATATGTAAATGACATTATACCGACTCCCTCCCCCCCCCTTTGACTCCCTTTCTCCTTTTCCTTTCTCTAACCCTTTTCGCCTTCTACATCTTCTTCTTCCCCTCCCTCTCTCCTTCTTCTCTCCCTATCTCTCTTCTCCCCTTTCTCTTCTCCCCTTCCTCTCTCCCTCTGTCTCCTCTCCCTCTTCCTCTCTCCCTCTCTCTCTTCTCCCTCTACCTCTCTCCCTTTCTCTCTCTTCTCCCCCTTCCTCTCCCTCTGTCTCCTCTCTCTCTTCCTCTCACCCTCTTCTCTCTCTACCTCTCTTTCTCTCTCTTCTCCCCCTTCCCCCCTCTCCCCATCTTTATTGCCTTTCGTGCATTTCATAATTTCGGCGGATTTGAGCGCTTTATCGACCACCAGCTGTACATGCGATCTGCTTGATATTAAGATTTTCCATTTTCCTTTTTACTTCCTTTTTTTTATTTTTTTTTGGTGTTTTTCTCTCCATCTTTCTCTCTTGCTTTTTTCGTGCTTTCAGGCAAGTCAGAAAAGGGGGAGATTGATCGGCGTGGCGGGCAATGCTGAGAACCTGAAATGGCAGTTTGAATTATTCGTTTGACGCAAAGACGGGAAATGAGATGACAATGCGCGTGTGTTTTCTCTCTCTCTCTCTCTCTCGGTCTCTGTCTGTCTGTCTCGTCTGTTTCTTTCTCTCTCTTTCGTC